TGCATGTTTGCCCATACCAACCAACGACCTGACCATATATATATATATAACTATTTCTCAAAAAGCCCAAACAACAAAACCAGTTGTGATGCCACAGTGGTGAATACCTTAGATCTTCTTCAGAAGATCTCAGGTGTTGTTTACATTTTAAAGGGTATTAAACGGTGTTTTGCTTCATCCTATTGCTGGGGCGCGTGGAATCCCCTTTGGACATTGTGAGGTGAAATACTGAAGAAAAACAACAATACGACGGTTTGGGTCCAGCAGAGCGGATGTGAAGACACCTAGAACCTGAGTGGGGCCAAAACCATGAACTTGTCCCATCAAAACAAAGGTCAAATGGGTTCGTTTGGTATGGATAGGGCATGATAATACAGGGCACGTCATGTTGGACTGTCTGTTTCTTTCGAAAGGCGTTAAGTATCCGAGGTTTCAATAACTGCAGCTTAAATTCCGGTAACACATCAAAAAATCCGGTGAAACATCCACGTGGAGATCTTTTTACCAGATATATAGCCTGTTCAATTGACGATCAACATTGCTAAACTGAACCCATGGGGATTCCACCCTTGAGAGCCACCACTTAGGTGCATTTTTTTCAACGGTGTGAGTTTGTCGAGCAGCTGTATCCATCGGTGGTGATTTGGGCCATAACTCAAACCAGAGAAGTGCAATGTCCCATAACGTCCCTATGTTTCGCTTGCAAGCATCAGCAGTACATTAATTACGGGTCACGAACCAGTTACTACCCTTTGCTTTTCATTCACAGTTTGGACATACTATCTACCCCAAAAACACGGTAGCCGTCCATGAATGAAGGTGACTTGAAGGACAAGACTGGGGCTGTATGACGGTGATTCTTCGAGTTGAATTCCGCCGTAGAAGTGGCGAACCCGTGCTTGGTCTCCTTGGGTGTTTATTTTTCCGCGCACTTCGCGACCCACCGGGTCCCGTGCGGAACGCGCTCAGCCTCCGAGGCAGCAGCGACGTGGGGTCGCTGGAGCTCCCGATGGGAGAACTCCGCACGGGAGATGGGCCGACTCAAAAAGGGGCGGGTTCGGGATGAGATCAATGGTCTGGATGAGGTCAGGAAACAAGCGAGCTCACCCATAGACGTCAGGTGAGTGTTGCATCGCCCAAATCCAACAAATGGACTAATAGACATAGAGAAGTTGCTTTTGATTTTTTGAGGTACTTTGACCAGAACTGTTGGTAGCCACAAACTCAGCTTCCACCAGAAAAGATCCCACCTGTGGACCCAGACAATCTCAGATCTAAATTTGAAGCTATTGTTTGCCCTTTGGCATTCATGTTTGGAGTGGGTGACTGTAATGCTTGAAGCTAGGTAGCGGCTGTTTGGTGGGCAAAAGCCGATCAACGCACGATCCTGTGTTGCCCTTGGTTCTTTTGCAACATGTCACCTATCTTTGTTAGAAGCGTGTCCCAGCACAATTGTCAGCAGAAGATATTAGTATGAGATGCAGTTACAGTGGTTTCAAAGTAGATGGCACAAACCGCACGTCTTGTAGATGGGATACACACACATACATATATATATATACTGTGTATATATATATACATAACTTTTTTTATTGTGCAATCTAATACTCCCTGTATAGGTGTTTGGTGTTTTCTTCCAGTAAATCTTGACTAATGACTACTGGCAGTTGGTAGCACCATCCACTTGAACGGCGCCAAGATGTTGCATCTCACGTGGGCTTGTAGGTGCTTCGTGCTTAGATGGCCTCGATGCCAGCATAGACCGTTGAGGTCTTGGACAAAGAGTGGGAATAGACGTGACCTACCAACATCCACATCATGGATCGCTAGAGCATGACGCACATCGTCAGCAGTTTATAGCTTCCAGCTTAGGACCCTGGTTGCGGACTGGAGCCCAAGGCATATTCACAGACGCAGGTTGAAGTTGCACATCGTGGCTGTATGCTGGAACAGATCCCTCATGGTCCCGCATTTCTTGGTGCCACTGGCCAGATCCTGTTGATTCGCGACCGTTAGACGCCACCTGCAGATCACGTCATCGCCATGGCGGGTGAGGCGCCGGTGCTGCACAAATCCGTCGCGAGCTTTCAGCACCTGAGTGGCTCGGACGGAATATGGACATGCCTGTCAGTGGCTGAGTGGCAGAATGGACTATTTTACAGACAATGACATGGGAAGGATACAAAATTGCGCTTGAACAAAAACAGTGGAATGGTTCGTCCGAAACTGCCCGACACGTTGAACAGCACATAGTGAGGATGGCATAGCCCCATCAATGCCTCATCAGGACCTGTCACTGTCCACCGCAAAACCAGGCCTCAAAAACACGGGAGTTCGACATGGGCCCCCCAAGTGATCGCTATCTCCAAACATGCTTAACATTGCACTTTTTGGGGGGGAGCTTTGAGTCATCCTGCTTGCAGCAGAAGCTATACCTTAAAATTCCAGCCACCATTGATTTACGTAATAGCCTGAATCCCGACCACCCAGAGTTACAGTAATGTATTTCGACGACAAAGCCAGGTCAACCTTTCTTTCGGTCATTAGAGGGCCAGGGAAAGAATGAACCGAACGCCCCCGCGATCCACCAAGTCTTTCGGAAGTCGAGGACAGGAAAGCCTGAAGAAGGTGGTGGAAGAACTCTTAGCTCCAGCACCTTGGGCACTCAAACCTTTTGGCGGAAAGGGGCGACGCACAGGTCGAAAACCAGTCATGTTAGGTGAAGCACCTGGACCGACCCACGGCACTTCCGACCCACGGCCGTGGCACCGCGAGTCGGTGAAGATGAGACACAAGCAGCTCAGCATAGCCCGAAAAAGAACACCAAGGCCAAAGTCCAAGTGATTTGGACCGATTTGGACTAGCAATTTTCTTTATATATTTGGAGTTTCTTTTGTGAGCAGTTTGTTGATATACGTTCTTTTCTACTCAAGGGTGTTCAGTTCTTCTTTAGATCAGATACGTTGATCGAAAGCTCCATGTCTCATGAGGTTCATTTGCCAGCTGCAAGGCCCTGGCAGCAGTTCGAATCTGTGTCCGGGCGTGGAGGTGGAGATAGGTGGAGCTACACATTTGACAGTGTTTGTGAATGTATGGGGGCCCTACCGGTGGATGGGCTGGGCATTTCCAGATCGAAGGTTTTTCTGAAGCAGCATGGGGCAAATCCAACGACGCAAAGGGGTGGTAGAACGCAAGCGGTGTGTGGCCAAGTTCAGATCATTTGGTTTTCTGGATGCTTCACGGTTCCTATGCCACAAGGGTTGCTCGAGGAACTCAACCGCGGGGTTCCTCCTTCTTGTCTTCCAACCAGAGGCGTTCTGGTTCCTCCAAGCTTTGAAGACCAATCTCCAAAAAGAGTGGAGACCTCAAATAAAAGCAGGGTGGAGATGTTGTTGATATCAAAAGCCAAGAGAGGGATGAGTGTGCATTAACATAGGGAGACCTCCCAAATCGACCCCCTGGAAGAAGGGAAATAGACCGGTCCACCCATTGGTAGAGGCTCTACCTATTGAAATGCACACCCAAGTGCTTGGGGCGTTTCCTTTCGGAAACTGACTGCTTGCGCTGGTTCTTGAACGTTCTCGGAGTTCTCGGAGACGTTGAGCTGTTGGACCAGAGAAACACCCTGCCACCCACTGTAGAACATAAAGCAGGAAGCCAAGCAGGAAGCCAAAGGGGTATTCATCCGTCTCCACTGTGAACATGGTGCATTTTCGCTCGGAAAAAGCGATGAGCATTCTTGACTTTTCCGGAGCCAGGAACACCGGTGAACGCAGGCGTAAACGGAAACACATACCGTTGTTAGTCCCACTGGCTTTCCCCTCGACCTCTTACATCTAAGCAGTAAATAGAGATTTGAGACCGTGGCACCCTGGGAGAAAGTATGAAGACCACCAGCATCAAATTCAGATGCTCTTATTTCTCCATCATATTCCGACTTGACTTAATGAGGTGAATTTGCAGAAGGCGCTGGTGCAGGACGCTGATCATTTGGCATTGGGCCGTCACAAAGTGTCGGCATGGGCTAGCAGTTGGGTTGCTTGGACTGGCAATTGATGTGGATTCTCCAGCACAATACCCTCCCTCCAACAAACACGACAGTGTGGAAAATCCCCATGTTTGCAGAAGAATGTCAGGATCATCCTCATCCAAGGTGCCATTGCCATTTTCCACTACCATCATTTTTATCCTGGACACTCCCAGTTCTGCCTGGCTTAGCTTGCCCCTCCAAGCAAACCCCGCCCCAACCTGACAAACAGGCCCTCCCGGCCGCGCCCACGTGGGGACACCCGACCGACCAGTGCGCCGCACGACCGACCGGCCGAGGTGTTGCCGTTGATCATCGGCGTGTTGACGGCCTCCACGGGCACACTCATCGAGGTCATGTCCGAGTTTCTGGACCGCTGGAGGCGGTCTTCGAACGAGACGATGGGAGGACGATGGGTTGATCCGATGGGTGTACGACCCCCCGGAGAACGCAACCAGGAGAAGTGGAAGATAGTGGATGACCTGTTCTTCTTTTTTTGGGGGGATTGGTTCGTCAACGCATGTCAATAGCAAGTGGTGGAAAACGGTTCACCATGAGTTTAACTTTATGTTCCAGGGAAACTAAGCGAGTCAGTAATGACAACCCTATATACATGATCATTTAGGAAGGCTTTTTGGTTCTGAAGAAGCTAAAGCTTTGGTTTGCGTCTGTAGTAGACACAGGCGCCACAATCCATCCATATCCTTCCATGACTCCATGACGATTTTCTGTTCAATGCTATATTTGGAAGGGTTTTGGTAGACTGATAGTGTTTCGTAGTGGCTGTCTTGCCGAGTTTGGTAGCCCACGGCCACCACCACAGAGACACACACACACACACACCAAGGAAGGTTTTATACTTAAGACGAGGCAAGAGAACCTCAGCAACAATTTCAACTTGTGCCCCCAACGCCAAAATGTGCCAAAGTGTAAACGAAGAAGCAACATCCCTTGCGTAGCAGTTGCGTAGCTGCTACGCAAGAGTCATAGTCAAGACTTGTGCCCACCCTCTTGAGACACAAGGATGGGTGTAGGAGCCCTTTGCGCAAGACCATATGTTGTTCAAGCCTTTGGTGCCATGCAAAGAATTTTTGAACATTTGCAGCTTCTGCAGCTCCTACCTTTGGCCTGAAAGGGCATCCCCATTCATCCCCAATCTCCGTCTCAAAAATAGGGGATCCTCAAACTCAGCTACGTGATTATATTGTTGATATAAATCGACCTGGAACTTCCAAGGGGTGTCCAATGGAGAAATCGCCTCCAGGCACAGCTACTGGACTTCAGGCGGCTGGGTCTCTTGGTCAGAGGCGCCGACACCCTTCAAAGATTCGCGACATTGGTCCAAAAGAAGCGAGCTAGTTTGGGTCATCCCCATGTTTGGTCACTAGATGTCACCAGACTCTATATAGAGGCTATCAAATATGCCCATGAGTCCCATGACTCATATGACCTCACATGACCTTCTTAACTTGTGTTTGCCAAGTTGGAGAGTCGGAGGACCCATGGACTTGGCGAGCTTGGTCAGCCTATGTGGTCAGCAGTGTGCTTTTCGCCACCCTTTCCGCCACCTGGCCAGTCTCCGTGAGAGACGGGTGGTACGTGTGGAGTCCATCCGTCCGAGACGGTGGGATGCAAAAGAAACATCCCAAAGAAACGGTGGGATGCAGTAGATCAGTCATGACCAAAGAGAGTCTATGATTACTGTCAGACCACTCCTTGAAGTAATCATGGAAGTGGACAGGCTACTTGGCTTTCCACTTCCATGTTGGTGACTCGGAGAGTTGTTTTTGTAATGTTTTGAATAAGTTTTGTTTCATGTGCACGACTACTATCCACTAGTAGGTTGGAGGCCATCGAAAGTAGGTTGGAGGCCATAGCTAGTAGGGTTGGAGGCCATCGCCAGTAGGTTTTATATGTGTTGTTTGCGGATACATACTATCCACTTGGGGCCACAATTACTTTGGAAGAGCGGCTCAGGTCGGTGTGGGGCCGGGCTCGGGTGAGTTTTGGCGATGCCATGCCCGGTTAGCTACAACATGAAGAAGGAAATCTTAAGCACTGGAAATTGCTGTGGACATTCTGCTAGTTATACCTGGAACCCAACTGACCCCTGTTTTGATAGGAAAAGGCCTGGCCTTTTGGGTGGTTGGTCCAAAATAGAGGTCACAAACAGGTTCTAGGTATCTAGTTACTAACCAGAGGATTGAGTAGCAGGTTTGGCGCAGCACCGGGGTGACCTTCTCCTATCACCTCGGCGTTTCTTCACCGTCGACAGGCCGTGTTGGTGCGACACTTTGCCCCCGCAGCGCGGGGAAGTGGAATCCCTGACGCTGGGCCTGTCGCGACACGGCGCTGGAGTCACTTAGAACGAGCCAAATCTGAGAACGAGCAGTGTCAGGGTGATATGAAACCCTCGGTCTCCAGCCGCACCTTCCAAGAAGGTGTTTGGGGTGGGTGCGAGGAGGGTCCAAGTACCCGGAAAGATCCGGAAAGGGTTGTAGGGAGTAAGCACTTGCACAGGGCTTGGATATAACGAAGCCGGAAAAAGCAAGAACGGAGCTCCTTTCTAAGACTCTCCTTTGCGATGGTTTTGTCTTCAGGGTCTTGGGTTACAAAGGGAGTCACTTGGAACGAAGCCTAAGCGAAGCCAACACACACACACACACATGACCTTAGTAGGCACTGGCCCAAGTGGGACAAGACCTTGGAATTGGATTAATTGGAGGGCACTCTTCTTCATGATGTGGTGCTCTGCTTAACATGGAACAGTAGAATACGATGGTAATCCAATTCAGCTAGCTTGTGAACACGCAGGGTATGGTACCCGGCACTCCATGGTTGGCTTCAAGAAGCCCAGACAACTGCCACAGTGAGTAGATGGAGAGTAGATGGCACCATCCCCAATGTTGGTGGTTTGTATGGACCCACTACAAGTCCCACTACATATGGAACCCCATCTAAAAGACGGGTTTTTTGCGCCACCTACTCCTGAAACCACTGATTCATGATGCCTGTTCGAATCTTTTCGAATTTTTGTTTGATGAGTGGCTAAAGAGATTGAGACCAGTTCCACCTCCCTCAAGACGGCTCTGTCACTCGTTTCCAAAAGAGAGACGGGCTTTCTCCGGCCTCCGCGGAGCGATTTCTCGTCTGGGTCTCAAGGAAGTGAAAACGATTCTGGGTGGTTTTGTGATGAAGGACACCTTGTCCACGCGGACGTTGATGGTGGCCTGGCATGGGAGATGTTGATTTTTGGGGGGATGGAGATGTTGGGAACCTGTTGACTCTTGTGGATAGGACAAGGCCACAGTCTGGACAGTTGCTCCAAGATAAAGACGTACTTTTCTTATTTTTTTCAATTGTTTTGGATTCCAAGGGTGGGGGCCGAAAAAAAGTAAAAAACAACAACCTCAGGCCCCAAGAACCGAGCCTCACCAAGCACCAGTCAGCACCAGTCAGCCAGATGTGACTTTTTGCACCGAAGGTGCGTGGTGACCGTTTAAATGGCCAAGTGCAGGAGAGTGATTGGTGCTACAAAAAGGATCAGAACAGGAATCGGAAAGGAATTAGACATGTGTAGAATCTGCCTAGAAGGAAAATAAAGCAAGCACTTTGGGACATGTTTAAATTAATGTTTCATTTTTTGCACTTAATAAATACTGGTCCTCCGACTACCTCCATCTGCATATATTGAAGAGGATTTCTTTCTGCTCACGTCAAACGTCGGCCAGTCTTTTACAGACTCATCGTACAACAATTTGGGCTGTTGTTACTGGAAAATAATAGTTGCACATGGAAGGATGAAAGTGGCGAAATTGTTAAAGCTGCAGTTCCCCTTGGGGAAAGGTGTTGGTGAGGACTTCTTGAAACCAGCGTTTCCATTGTAACCTGTACCAAAGCCGTGACACGGCCAATGCCTGCATGAAGATGTTGGAGCATTCTATTTTGGGTCATTCATCACCGGGTCTACAGATTCGCCTTCGATCCAACTCCTGCTTTTGCTCAACATCTTGGGGGCAGCGGCTAGTGTGGTTCGCCCACACCAGCGGTTGGTCTCTCTTGTTCCTGGTTGCTCACCCCACACCCCACAACCACCCTTGGGGCCGCTACAGCTTGCAGCCACACAGAGCTCAACGTCGCCGCTCACGTCGCCGTTCGAAGGTGAAGATTGTGGGGTTGATGCTGTCGGTCTCTTCGGGCTTGGCGCTGGGCAAAGAAGGGCCGACAGCTCCCTGGAAGCGGAAGGAAGCGACTCCGGGAACCGGGAGCGACGGTTGGTGCGGGATGCGGGCCGCAGGTGCGTTTTCAGGTGCGTTTTGGTGGCCATGTTGAGAGATTCAGGTAGATGTTCGACCTGCACGTGAAAAGGATTTGTCTACATTTGTTTGTTGTGGCTTTTTGTGATCTTTTGGAGGGAAACTGCTTGCAAGGCAGACATGCTAGCCGCTTGTTTATGGTCAAGACCGTCCAACAACAGTGGCTATTATATAAATAGACCATCTGGGTTTGACGGTCAAAGCTGTAAAGGGGGCCGTAAGTCTTCCAGAGTAGGGTTGTTTGTTGAAGTGTTCTTAGTATAGGACCCTACTTTATATATATTTAACTTGCGTTTCACCGTCGGCCCATATGTGGGTTCTGGGATGTTCTGGGTGCTTGATTCAAAACGGAGTCCCCTTGAGGACTACTTTGTTTAGTGTCCACCTCCATATTGGTTGACACACCAGACCGACCCAGCAAACGTTGATAATCTACATGACCACCTTTTTGGGGAATATGCTTTCCCCACTCAAGAAGACCGGCTGGGAAAAGGTCACACTCCATGAAAGTGGAGCCTGCATGCAGCCCTGTCCAACAAACAGGTGGCTGTCCACTTCGATGTCACGGAGTGTAAACACTGGATTTTCAGATACGACGAGATGGCTCGGGAATCGATTACCGTGACTGGCGATGTCATGGTGATGGGGACTGAACCCCTGACCGGTGGTTTCCTACGCTCCGCTAAGCTTGATGCTGAACTGGTGGGTCAAAAGCTGGGGGGGGCCCGGTGGCCATGAATAGACTACTTGGGAGGTCAACCTGGCTGCGGCTCTCACAGCCGCGCTTCACGGTGGGACATCTTGCCAGAGATTGAAGATGTACCTTAGGGCTCCAAGCACCTAAGAAGGGTGTTTGGGGTGGGTGCCAGGCCAGGAGGTTCCAAATACCCTTTAAGGAGGTACTTGGAGTCAATTGTCATACCAGAAGTTACGGGGACCCATGATCATCCATGCTTTGCACCTGCTCCCTGCTCGCTCTCGCTGCTCGCTCTGCCGTCCTCCCTCACGCGAGCCACGCGAGCCGACCCACGGCCACGTCGCGAGGTTCACATTGCTTGCTGCTGGGCCAACGTCTCCTGGTGCATGGAGGGGTCGAGCAAGCCATGCTGAGGGCTATGTGACCCTGCAAGCCTCCAAGGATCTCCAAGTGGTCCTTGTATGTCCTGATTTGGGGTTTGAATTCTGCTTCAATCATCGTATGGCGCTACCATGAAACTTACTCTCCCTGGAACTAACATGGAAGCGGAAAACATTCTGTTTGTAGAGGAAAATTGTCTTCCAAGAGGCCATTGTCCACTTCCATGTTAGTTCCAGGAAGTATATATATATATACTTCAGGATAGTTATATATGTTATATTGCATGTTTCATACATTATTCTATGCTACTGTGAGGTCTTTGGGCCTTCTTCAAGAAAGGTGTAGATCAGACTATGTGACTATGAGAAGTTCGTTTCATATCTATCCACCATGGCGTTCCTGTCGTTTGATGTTCGAACCTCTCCTGTCAAATCAGCCACCTTCCTGGGCACACACACACACACACACTACACCCGCCAAGCTTAATATGGAACCTTTGGAAGGCTTTTTTTCCTTTGCAACCCGGTGGTTTTCAGGTTCCATGTAAATCTTCCAGGATCTTCCAGGGCCTAAATATTTTACGACCTTGTCCAACCACCCAAATGTGCCAATCTCATGAAGTGTTGCTTTGAACACTGAAGAACCAACAACTCCTCAGCACCTCCGGCGTCCCTGTGCACCTCCTCAGGTCTGCAGCGGCTTCTCGAAGCGCTACTCGCAAAGCGCGGGACGCTTGCACGAGCTGCTGAGCGTGGCCTCCGCCGCCGGGGTCTCCGTGGCCTTCGGAGCGCCGGTGGGGGGCGTGCTCTTCTCCTACGAGGAGGTCTCCACCAGGCGGGAGGGAAGGGTATTGGAGGGAAGTCAAGTGGAAGTCAGGTTGATGCTCGTGTGGAGCTGCATGCGAGTCAGGCAGAGCCAGGCATTATCTAGAAGCTTTTCAATCTGATGCTACGGGATTTTTAAAAGAACATAGGAAGTGAAGCCACGTAAGCAGTCAGTGCAGAAAGCCGTAAACGAACAGGTTGTATACAACGCGGTCCAAACATCTCGAAATGCACTATATGAAGAGTTCTCAAGTCTCCAAAGCTTCAAAGTCGACCGAAGAAAGTGAAAAGGAACGATGACGAGTGCACATTGGCAGGCTTCGAAGCTTATAAACAGCCTGGAGCTTAGGTTGGGACGTAGCCGTAGCCGCCAACATTCATAAAATCGAGCAGGTATGTCACGGTGATCAGCCGTGATACCCGCATGCACTGGGGCCGCTTCGATGGAAATCGCTCACAGCACATGGATGGTCCCCGTTCATGCTTAAGAACCGAAAGGCTCCCTAATAGATCCCCGAAGGTTACACTCACGGACTTGCGTCGTTTGAGCACGCAAGCCTCTTCCTTGAGGCTTTATGCCAATCCCATCCCCTGGGCAACATGTGAGTGGCGTTTTTCTTTGTAAATACTGTTGTAGCCGTAGAAATGACATGTTATAATTTAGATTGGATGATTGGACTTAGACTTAGACGAAGGCATGGCATGTGTGTGCGCAACCTGAAATTCCGTGCGTTTCGGCGCGTTCCGAACTCCGCAAACCCACGCCGTTCCGAACGCCATTCCACGCCGTTCCGAGCGCGCGCGCGCGCGCGGAGGTTTCGACGGGCCACCATGATCCGCGCCTTCTTCGCGGCGGTGGTGGCCGCCTTGACCTTGGCCTGGTACGACCCCTTGGGCACTGGTCGCTGGGGTGAAACCGGGTCGGCACCGGGACGGTCTGCGTGGCCCAGGAAGGCTGCCAGGTCTCACAGGCACCGCATTTTGGCAAGGAAGTGAGGCACGAAGTGATAGGCTAAGGGAGGCTGGGGCACATATATGAAGGGCACTGTATGTCGAGGATGCTTTAATAGTTCAACTGTTCAACTGGTCACCGACCCGACAAAAGGTGCTGATCCGATGGCAGTTTATTTACAGTATGTTTTACTGAGCGCGAGAGAGAGGGAGAGAGAGAGAGGGAGGAACCCTAGGCAAAACATGGCCAAACCAAGGACTCTTCGCACCGTTTTTTGTCGGGGGGGAAGGTGGGAAGGCATGTTTGCAAAACACCCATTCCTGGTGTCGTTCTCTCCAAGGCAAGCTTACCTTGTTCGAGGTCTACTATCCTCAACAGCCGGCCTTAGGTCCGGGTGCCCAGGTCGGCCCAGGGGCATCCGAAAAAAGCAAGAATTCCAACCACAAAGGCATCTCCAGAAACCTTTGGCAAGCCAAACCAAAACTGTTGTGAGAACTCGAATTGATCAAAGCGGGGCTTTCCCTTCAATTATAGAACATCAGGACGGTGGTGTGGCGCCCTAGAACAAACCACCCCTTACGTTTGGACGCCTGTAGCATGTGCCCAACCAATGGCTGGCAGATGCTGGCAGTATGAGACCTGCAATTCTAGATGACTTGACTTAGCCCGGCGAGGTTGAACTTGACTTAGCCCCCCAAAATGGACGGCCACAACTCGAACATGGCTTTCCTGGGCGGACACCGTTTTGAGTTGCTTTGTTGATGTTTGTTAATTGGAACGCTGAAAATACCGAACACCGGGCTCTTCCTTTGCCTAACCGTGTTGGATTCCAGGACTGGGGAGAGGGAAACGGGGAACGGTCCGGGAATGAACTGACACGCAGTGCCTGACACACGCCAGGGCCAGCCGTTCGGAACGGTCAGTTCCTGAGTTTGGCTTCACGATCCCGAAGACCATCCCCAGTCAGTGTTAAATGCATTGCAAAACTTGGTGGGATTGGTTTCTCCGCGGATCGATAGAACACGTGGAAAAAGATAGACCTCTATTTTCTAGGGAAACTGAGGTAGTCAGAATTTGAACTGATCAACTTCTCATGTTTGCTTTTTGTTGGAGGGTGTCCAACTGGGACTCGCACCTTCATCGCGAAGACACGCAGGTGAGTATCCTTTGTTCCTCCTCATGGGCTGCGTGGGAGGTTCTTGGTCTCAAATATAAGTCAACAAACTTGGCAATGTCAAGGCGTTTGCATGCAATTTTGCACGCCCTCAAGTACTTACATAAGGGTCTGAAACGGGATTCCCGATTATGTTTTGACAGCAGGTTTTACACACGTTTGTCCCCATCGATGGACCTCAAAGCCAGCTGACTACCCGGTTCCGAGCGACCACCAGAGGTAGTTCCGCACGCCTCTCCTGTGCTAACCACCGTCCGCATCCGAAAAACCTACTGGAAACAGAACAACCAGGAACAAGCTGAAGTGGGAAGCATGCCCCTAAGAACAGTGAAGCACAGGTTGGATCATGTGTAATCTCAACTTTGCCGTTCATTTGCTGGTGCCTATACTCAGACCATCTCAGACTTGATAGAACTTTGCAACAACCATGATTCATGCATCATGATTCACCGACGATTGGAAAGGCCAGCGGCACATGGTTTTCCTGAGCAGGCCGAGCCCTAGGTATCCAGTGGTACCTTGTTAGAAGATGATGTGTTCGACACTGCCTGCTGTAGGAAGGGCCGGTAGGGTCGGTAGGGCCGGGATCTGGATCCGACATCCGACTCTTGAGACTCAGGCCTCCAAGGCTGAGTGGACTGGCACTCACCTTGGAAGTTTCGTCATCAACAAGTTCAATGGATTCCATTCCATGGAGCGAATTCCCCTCACAGGACCTTTCCCCCTTCACAACTCACTCAGATGGTTTCGTGGCGTTTTCAAACCACCTGTTTGGCATTAGAATGTATACAGATGTTTACAAGGAGAAAGGATCCTTCCGAACCTTCGGGGGTTCATGCCATCCATCCACTGGCCACTGGCGCGGTTCACCATGTGGAACCGTCACCATGTCGCCCACCGTGGCCCAGGTGATCCGGACTGGACTCCTCTGGGCCTCCATCCGTCCCCTGTCCCTGTCCCGGACGTTCATATCCACCGAGGTCTGGTGGGTGCGCTCTTCGTGGAGCTCAACGGTCGGGTCTTCCTCTTCCGCCAGGAGGGCTCCGCCTTCCGCAGCTGGATCCCGGTGACCGTCGAGGCAGGGGACCCCGGGGGTTCAGGTTCCTGACACTATCCACGTTTTGGTGTTTGACAGGTGGTTTTATAGGAAAGCCGGATGTTCGGGATGGGTTGTTAGGGAGGACCTTATTCAGTTGTGTGTTGCGCAAATACAGACTGATTCGTACCATGTCCTGGTGGATTTCAGAACCATCCCAGTGGATGTGAGCCCAAACGTCACCCTCTTCCGTTCGTTCGGCAATCCGACATGGAATCAGCTACAGGGCAAAACGGACGGGGTATGCAAAAAGTAGAAGGTATAGGATTGCCGTTCGCAGCGTTCCAGGAACTGCCTAGTATTGTTGACAGCTGGGAAGGACCGCAGGTCGCTGTCTGGACGGTCTTTTTGGGCAAGGGAGAATCATCCTGACAGGTAGAACACACGTACAGTAACAGCTCCTGGGAAGTCTGGTGGAAGTCGTGACTGTAGGTGTCATGTGAGGCCAGCTGTAGGCGGACATGCGGGGGGTTGTAGGGTAGGGTTCAGGTTGGACAGGGGCTTTGAGTGGCCACATGAGATGACATCAGTCTAGCACCTCCAAATTAAGAGCCAACTTGGCCCTTCTACGGTCTTTGCTTCTATAGGTTCTCGGTTGGGTAAAGATTCCAGGATATTCTAGCCCAGACACTCCATGTATGCCATATATGCCTACTTTGGGGCGGTTTGGGGGTCAATGTAGGCATATATGGCAGACATGGAGTGTTTGAGTAGGGTTATAAGCTACTTTTGACTTCCGGGCCTTGTTGACCACACGTGGGGTTGTTTGAACACCGGTAACGCCTACCTTCCGGACCTGCGTCCGTCTCTCGGACGCGACGAGCGACGCACTGGGCGCCAGGTAGCTTTGATTGCAGTTTTCACAGCTTTGACCAGCTACCCCTCCAAATATACGCGGGATCTCTCGAACCAAGCGATTCACGCGCTCTTTCACAATTGTGAAGCTCAGCTGCAGGGAGACGAATTAAGCAATTAAATTAGACGAGATTATATATTATATATTATAGAAACATGATTATTTTCAGAAGACGTTTTGGGGTCGACCCCTTGACCTTGTCCTTCACTCCAGACCATCCATTTGACTGGAAGCGTTGGAAGTTATATAATGCATACATTTGCACCATTTACGACCCTCATGATCATGTATGTATGTAACCTCATGATCATGTATGTATGTAACTAATTATTCCAGTCCCATGGATGGTTTTGGCATTGACCTTTTGCCATGACACGCGCGGTGTTTCGGCCAATCCGCCATGGCTGGGCTAGCAATCAAACTTCTGGTTGGATTGCAGCCAGTCCTTCCTGACCGTCCTAACCCCTTTTGCCTGTGCTTCAGTGGGGCTTTGTAGAGGGTGGTGATATGTGGTGACGGTGTCGACCTGCTTGTGGGTCAAATCCAAAGGTCCAGAAGAGTCTAAAGGCTCAAGAAACTGTTCTTGGAGTCCGCAGGGAGTGATTGGCTTTTGCGATTCTTCCCAATCGAACCCATCGACTTTTTCGCCCGCAAAAACACCTCCTGCTTTCAGAGAGAATTCTTCTTGGGTGTGCTTCGCCTTCTTCAACTGATTTCGTGTCGTTTTTTTTCGATTTGTTGTTGCGTCGTGGTGACGAAAGCACCACCACGATGCTCGTCACCCATCCAGTCCCATCGCGCCCGAAACGCACCGCGCGAGGAACGCATTCGCGAGGATCCCTTGAGCCTGTGCACCCCGGACGCCGACCGTACGGACGGTGCTTTAGTCCTAGCGTTGCTGGCAGCTGCTGCGGTGCGGTTTGTTCAGGTCACCATCACCTTTGGAAGCATGGCTGGAGCGCGCGGCCGGCCTGGGTTTGTTTGGTTTGTGTGGCGAAGGGCTGCGCTCGGCGACGTGTGAATGTTGGGAAGAAAGGTGGCATTGTGAATCGACCGGAGCTAGAATTTCATTGGAAGAGAGAGGGTGGGGATTTTGGGCGTGTGATTTATAGAGAGATAGGGAGAGTCCGGTGCAGGGTTAGTTAGTTATGATATGTTATGACCATGTAGTTATGACGTGATATGCAAATTCGATCAAATTTGATAACTTGAATTTTAATCAAACTTCTGCGGTTTCAGAGTAGTATGTCTTTCTCAGAGCAGGGGTCCAGGGGTCCATGGAAACCACCAAACTTGTATTGTGCCATCTACTCTCCATCCACTATCAATGCAACAAAACACTTCGCAATCCAGGTTCAGTTCATCTCGATGTTGCAATCGGATTCAGGAAGAGGGTTGTGAACATCACCGCGGGCCCGACATCTTCCAAACGCGAGCCTAACAAGCGAACAGATTGACCGCGAATCGGTGATTGGCGCTTCAACACGACGCATGGGACGATTTGGCGCCAATGCGTCAAATACAAACATCTGACTCGGTCAGGACCGAGTTTCAGGACGCCACTTACGGTGGATGTAGAGGTTCGATGGCACAATCACCAAGTTAGGTGGTTAATATGGATCTCTATTTGTCTAAGACATCTTGGGGTGCCAGTGCCATCTACTCTGAAACCACTGTACCCCAAAAGAACCGTTCTCCAAGCCGTGCAGCAGAAGTGGCCATTAGGTGAAGTGGCCATGCGGTTTTTGTTTTGGATTTTGTGCGGAAATGGCCCCGACAAGCTTAACGGGTGAACATTGGTGAACATATGGGTTTCGCAATGTTTTGAATTCTGCCCCCAAACAGACATCCCTGTAGCAAAAAACATGACAGCTTTTTGGTTGTCATTTGTGTTGTTCCCCCGTCTTTGCCCTCCCTTCATTTCCAAATGATGACGCGCTTTTGAGCGTTCAGCTCCTTGTTCCGTGTGGGGTTGGAGGTGTTTTTCCTTGGCTTTCGACGACTCGTCCGATCCGCCAATATGGCCGTCCGAGGCACCGGTGTCCCGTGCGGCCTCTTCGTGCCATCCTTGTATGTGGGTGCTTGCCTGGGGCGATGCTTGGGAGTTCTGACGGCCTGGGCCAATTCCTATTTGCACTTTGCCGAGGAGATTCATCCAGGACACGTTCCACACGGGCGGACACGAGAAGCGCGAATCACGGGTTCCGAGGTTTGCCTTGGAACCACATCCTAGAAGCAAAACGTGAAAACCCATAGATAGTCGTGTTCTTTTTTGGCAGCCTCTCCCTCAAAAGATGTTGTTGTCTCTACCCCCTCAAAGACTCTCCCTGTGAATGCCTAGAAACAACGACTGCAGCACCGTTGTTCTTTTTGGACCCCTCTCCCCGCCAGAACAACACCTCAAAAACACTCAAAATATATCAAAACATATCAAAACGAACCAACCCAGACTTCAGTGGAACAAGTCCGACATATCCAGCTACTTACAAAATCAACACTCCCTCAAACCTTCGACCGTATGCCTAACCTTGCCCCCTTGAAGTTCCAGCTCAGTTCAACATGTGACAACTATGTTGGTCTACCACCACCAACAACACCAGCCGTTGCTGCTGCTACTTTTCTACTGCTACTACTGCTAGTGTACTACTAGTGCTGCTGATACCACTACTTCTAGTCCTGCTACAGTTCCTCCTACTACTACTGCTGTCACTACCACTGCCACTACTGCTGCTACTACTGCTGCTACGGCTACTTCTACTCCTGCTACTACTTCCACTAGACTTGTTACTACGATGATGAGGACAACGTTGACGACCATGGACCATGACTAATACTTCTATAACATTCCTTACAATAATGTTACTACTTCACTTGTTACTACGACTGCTGCTGCTACTGCTACTGCGACTACCCCTACATTCCACTACTTGCACCACTGAGTGCGACCCCGCCTCGAACTGCTAATGCCACGCACTATCACAGCGGCCTAAAGGATAAGCTTTTAGCAGAAGGTCTAGGGTCTAGGGCAGTCCAAGGAGAGGCAAAATCATATTGATATTCATTGATTTTCCTTTGTGCAAACTAGAGGCATTGTAAAGGACTATCATCAGTTTATTCAGGCTGTTTGCTTTCAGGCCAGCAACACGTCGTGACCTATGCGAAGAATTGAGTCAATGTAGCATGAACTGAAGTTGTTTCAGTTCTTTTTCAGTTCAATAGTCGCGTCAGGCGATTTCGAGCAATAGATACATTTTGTGTTTCGCGGTTCCTTCCACCGAAATGCACCTGCAGGCATCTACGCCATGGTTGGTGCTGCGGCGACCTTGGGTGGTGTCTGTCGCGTGACGATTTCACTGGTGGTGATCATGTATGAACTGACCGGCGGCTTGCAGCTTCGATGTGATAGAAACCGCCTTCTTCAGGGGACTGGCTTGATGACTGACTGAGTGGCTTCGATGACTGATGTATTCCCCCCCTAAGATTGCAAGGATTGAAGGTTATTGCGCGTTGCTAGATTAGTGTTTGGGTTCCTGCGAGGAGGGGCCCCTTTTGACTAAAGACCCAAACAAGTACTAGGCGGATTCTTCTATAGCACGGGACCTATTTCGCACGAGAAGTGGCACGAAGTGTTTCCTGAGTACACCGCCCAGGTGAGATCTAGGATGGTGAGGCTCGCTCGCTCGCAGCAAGAAACAACAAACAGTCACATACAGTCACCAACACTTTGCTGCAAAGCACCCACTGGACCCCAATCAAAACATGATGGGACGGACTGGGACGGACTGGGATTCTGAGGTATTTGACTCCTGCATTCATGATTGCCGTACTGGCCGCCAAGTGGGTCGGGGACCTCTTCAACCACTCCATCTATGACTGTGTGATTGGTCTCCGTGGTTATCCCTATCTTCATGAGCCCTGCGAGGCCCATTCCGGAACGAGTTGTCGGACAGACATGGTTTGATCAGACATGGTGTGATTTGCAACATGCCTGGACACGTTTACCATGTTTACCCCTGCAGCTGGAGAACTCTCAAATTCAAGAGGGGAACTCTGCAAAGTGTTTGCTATGGGCATCCAGTGGTAGGCACATCTTTCCTCAAAAGAACCAAACCATGGCGGCTTCCTACACCACCTCCAAGGAGCTTTACAAGTGCTTCGACCATCTTGGATCAAATCATGTCCCAAACACTCCATTGGAATCATATGGAATCTAGGCCGACTTGGACCCCTGAGATCAGCCACTCCAGTGTCTGGTCAATGTGCCCATCCGCCAGAGCCGCTCGTATTTGGGTCTTGAACTTACTGAAGCTCCAGGGTTTAAAGGAATTCTTGGATCCTCCGACAGGTGGTGGCTTTGTGGCTAACAGCTGGGTGTGTATGTTAATGCCAAGAACCCCCAGGAAGGTTCGGGTCTATTTCCCGAACCTTCCTGGGGGTCGGAATGCCTGGTGTCACCAGGAAACACCTCTTGGAGGGTGTTGGGTATATGTGAACTACCTGGAGAGTGGAGCCCGCGTACGCCTGGTTTCCTTTGTGGGATATCGACATCCGCCTATCCAAGCCTACATGGTTTCTGGAGAAAAAACAGGCCGGATATGACCCTGACAATGGTAAACGAGGGAGTATTGGAGCTTTTCCTTGGTAAACGGGGCGGGTTTGTACAGTCTCTCTTGCTCACCTTGAAAACTTGGCCAATCCCTTCACACCGGTTCGAGGTGACTTACACGACACGAGCATGTGATGTGATGCAAGACAACTTGAGCTGCTTACCAGTGGAAGCTTGGCACTTTTGTGGCGACATTGGATATAGTACATAGAAGGCAGTATAGAAGGCGATTTGCAAAGAGCAGCAGGTGGCTCCAGCAGAATGTGCCCGGCACATACCGGTAAACAGGTATAGATAGTACACCAGTGTTGCGTCGTCACATGGCTTGGAGTGGTAGGGAGATGAACGAGAAAAGGGATGATGTTCCTGTGGGTGGCGGCGGATTTTGCGACCAGTTCGAGAAACCCTCGATCCACTTGCACCCTACAGTCTATCTTCGTTTTGGTGCCCATGATGGCATCACCCAAGAGCTGATAAGCAGGGCCAACCCCTGTCGAGTTTTCCTGGCGCCATGGGTCTATCGGTCTATTGATGACTTTTTTGCTGATGGATCCCATAGACCTCATGAAGACTCTGGCGGTGGAGTAAGGCATTTTGACCCTAGCATCCCCAGACATCCCAAGAGCGAAGACTCTTCCATCATGGGCCCGAGAAGTGACCGGACACCTGATCTGGCCGTTTCCACTTGAAGCCGTGAGCCACGAACGGATGCTTTTCCGCCCGGCCTTGTTTTTCAACTCTATCTCTCTCTCTCTCTCGAAAAGTATCTTACTGTGTATCATCTATTTTTTTGCCGGAAGTTTCCTGTTGATTTGATCAATGGGCAGCGCTTCCCCCTTCGCACCACAAAGAAAAGGAAACACCCTGCAGGAGGCTGGCTGCGTGGGCGACTTGCTGCTGGACGTGCGCGAGGCACCCTTCGCAGGGTATCCAGTGGTGCAAAGCCGCGAGGACATGTCCATCATGGGTCTCCGAGCGCAATTTGGTCGGAGAGACTTCAACAGGGGCAGCGATATGGGCCGATCGACACAGACCTGACATGACCTGACAATACGGAGACAGACAGTCTGTCACACCCTGGTGGGTGATGAGTTGATGCTCATCTTCCTTGCCCAACGGTCGGAAGATGACACGCGTACGTCGTGGAGTGTTAGCACGATGGTGTTAAGAAACCTAAGACACTGAGTCGACTTGAGGGTGGCTCGAACGTTGTTGATCACCATCAAAACACGAGGTCGGTGCTCCACCCGACCCTAAGCTCGACCCCCGAGCCAAGCCCCGAATCCAGGCTAGCCCTGGAGCCTGGAGCTCCAGTCGCACCTTCTAAGACGTTGGGTGCCAGGAGGTTCCAAGTCCCTGAGGATGTACGACTGGAGCCCTAGGGCCCTTGGGTAGTTCTGATCGATGCGGCAGGTCGTGGGGCAGGTCGTGGGGGTCTTCACATTGGACAGATTCCAGAGGTGTTGACCATCACCTAAGCAGGCAACTGAAGAGACAAGGTCAGTACTGGAAGAGCTGCAGTATGCTGTATCGACAGATCCTCACCCATCACAAGTCTCCCAACATAGAATTTGTATGAATTTGTAACCATCCAGTCAGTATACTGTATAGAGTCAGAATGCAGACATTTGCAGCACTGCACTGCGCAGCTCACCAGACCTTCCTTGGCTCCATCCGAGCCTTTTCTTCCGCGCCCCGGCCGTCCAGGCTACGTTTTAACGCAGTCCTTGCGGCACTTCCTCGAGGAGTCGGGACAAGACACCGAGTCCGAGCGGGTCTCCTTCGTGGGCACGCGCCTGCGACGGAACGGACCGGGACCTTCGCAGCGGGTCTGGAGCCTTCGTGGAGCGGCTGGTGTGGAACCAGCCGCCGATTTACGAAAAAACCCGGTTGCCACATGAGATCTCAAATGGGACGTTTGTTTATCCATTTGTTGGTATGGAGAATGCATATTGGGCTGTGGGTCATGACACTAGGAGACCTTGGTTGACCTACATGGTGTTTGTCGTTAGCTACATCTTGTGAATATCTTTTCCAGCATCCTCCAACAGGCTGTTAGTTGAGGGTTGTTGGACCCTAACAGGTCTCAATTGGTGACCTGTTGGAGGATGCTGGTCATGAGTTTTGTCCGACTATCTCCGACTTTGTCCTGGAGAACCTTCTTTCTTTTCGGCATCAAAACCTTGGCACCATGCGATGCAACGGTGCCGAGAGTGTTTTGTGAGTTCCGGACTGCACTTGTATATATGGGTGTGCAGTTTAATAGGGAGATCACCCACCAATAGATTTTGGTGCAGTGTATTTCCTTCTTCCAGGGGGTCTTTGGGGGTCGCCAGTGGGGTCGCCCTAGTGTAATACTATATTGTTTAGACAAAATATGCTTTTTGTCTATATATAGAAAAGTTGAAACACTTGGTTGGTTTCCTAAGACATACTTGCGTTGACGATGCTTATTTGATTGTCCAAACAGATTCTAACTGTATGACACTCCAAGCTGATAGTTTAAACAGATAAACATACTGGTGTTTATTTGACTTGGAATTTCAATGTTCCATGCACTAAAATACTGACAGCAAAGCAGTATATTCAACATTGATCAAGTAACAGTAACAACAGTTCTTTGTCGTGCATCGCTATTGACGTAGTTATATAGTGATAGTATACTGATATATAATGTATGTTAATGTCATGAGATGTCAGCAAAGACATCCAAGAGCCATGCCTGACCCAAGCCAAAATAAGCCAAACATATATAATCAATTACTTTATATAGCTACTAGTGACAAAGGGCATTATCACTAGGATCAAGAAGCTACTAGTAGCTCCTAGTAACTAGAAGCTACTAGTAACAAGGGCATCGCCATCGCCACTAGTAACAAGGGCATTACTAGTGGAATAGTCGCCACTAGTGGACACGACATATACCCAAGCATATGCTTCAGCATCACGTTACCCCGAACTCACTCAGATGCTTTCCGAGAGCCCGGCACTTTGGACGAGGCCCGGGACCTTGGACGCCTCTTCTTTGGTGGATAATTCTCTCCTGCTGGTGGCCCCAGACACTCCAGCCTCCCAGATCCACAACATCTTCCGGCAGAGCCTTGGCAGGGCCACTGCCAGACTGGTAGAACCCACGGGGGCGTTTGGCCGGTGCATGCTAGCTGCTAGCTAGCTGCTGGTGTTGTCTTACAGGTCATCAAGTAGCATTGGTATTGTTGTGTTTCTATCTATTTGTTTTTTTTGCGTTGTTTGATGTGAGATGTTTCACCCAATCAATGCCAAATCAAGGGTACCAAAGAGGAACGTAGAAAAGGGATGTCACGGGGTGCAACTGGCTGTCTCATGTCACACGTGGCTTTTTGAGGTCTCAAAACAGCACAGATGTGGTTTCTTTCGAATGTGATTGGTTGCTAGCTTTGCCAAGGGTTGTGCAGGATTCCAGCCTTGCTGAGAAACGCAATAAGTTCAATTTGCTTGCTGGTAGCTACAGCAGTGGCATTTGCAGAACGCCTTGGCCAGAAGCTATGGGGTGGCTTCAAGTATCAGAGCAGTCAGGAATCAGGAATGGCTCTTGTGACTCTTGTGGTGATGTGTGCTGATGATTTGTGCCATTTAGTATTCCACCTTGTGGCAAACATCATATACATATTTCAGTGTTTTCTTTTGCAGTAATGATGTGCAAAGATCCAATGACTGAGCCATCAACAAGAGCCATTTGGAGGGTGATTCTCGTCGCACGGTCTGGTCTCTCCGCGGTGCTGAACATGTCTCGAGGATGGGCTCGAAGACCATCCTGGTGACGAAGTTGGGGAAGCTGGTGCCATGATCTCAGTGAGGGCAACACGTGGCAGGTCTGTCAGGTCTGGGATGGTGGAAACCATCTATTTGGACTAGAGGTGTCCAAGATGGGGGGGTCATGATGTGAATGGGTGAATTATCTTGGAATATCTTGGATCCATGCTGGTGGCCTGCTCCAGAAGAAGAAACGTGCTAAGCGGCTGAGCTTTGCCACGCAATCCAGTCGTCACGACTCCCCACACGAAAAGACACTGAGTTCTTCATCCAACATTTTTTTGGGTGTAAGCAAACCTTGGTGAATTTCAGAATGTATGGCGATCCTGATCGTGAGGGACAGGTTGGTGCCGTCTTTCCTGACCCGTCGGCCCCCATTTCGCCCATGGGGTTCATGGAGCAAAAATGGAAATACTGTGGATGATCCTCGACAGAAGGTCTCGTCATAGTCCACCACTTGGCGGCCATGAGCAAAAACTTACCTTTAATTAAATGCCGAAACCCTGGTATGAGGGTTGGACCAAACCTAATATAACTAAACTTAACTAAACCCTAAAAGCACAAGTGACATACAGTTGTGAGTGACACATCTTCAGGTCAAGTTGTTTCCACTGGAGCATGGCCCATTTATCGCCCACCCTCCCCGATTTGGTTGCTTTAGTTGCCGGTTTTGTCGTCGGAGAATCCATGAGACAGCCGGTCATTGGTCGCATTCGGCGATCTGAAGACTGATGCGTTCTTTTTTGAGGGGAGGGCACCTTTGCCAACGGCATCCATGAAATTCCAGCGCTGCGGATGGCATTGTTTTTTTTACTCCCCCAACAGGCTTCTCTATGGATCCACATGCCTTCTCAGACTCAGAAACTACAACCGGAGCCTCCTGGTGCCCACATTCACACCTCATCTAAGTGTGTCTAATCACCTCTCGGAGTTCATATTTGTGGATAGGGCGTTGCATGTGGCGTTTTTTGGACAACGCCTTCAGTGGTTTAAACGGGACCCTGACGGCGGTTTTGTAGGGAGCGAACCGATGGAGGAGTTCCGAAATGCACCTGGCTCAGCAAGAATTCCAAACAACTCTGTTTGTCCCTCCTCTAGCCAATCACAACTCTTGGGGGCGTTTTGATGTGGGCCCTGCCTCAGTTTCAGTGATTCACATGACGTCGATTATCGCACCTCTTGGCACCAAAAAGGGTGGGTTTCACTTGTCGACCATGGGACTTTAAGAAGGCACAAGTGGGACGCCGAAGTCGACCAGGTCACAAACCTACGCTCTGACGAACACATCACAATAATGGAAGTGGATGGCATATCCCCTGCGAAGACCATTGTTCCGAATACCAACCAGGTCGCAGTACTAACACATGCGAGTTAGCGGAGGATTTGCGTGAGTCCATGTTGCATTGGCAGCCTTGATGCCACACGACAACTTGAGCTAAGCGTTCATGGCCAAAAATCACACAAACGTTCCAAGCAGCCCGACCGGTCCCTCAAAACCCGAGACCCCAGAGCCCTGGTGCGAGGATTCCGGTCTGAATGGTAGAGGATTCGGCTCCAGATGTTCGTTACCGAGGTGGGCCTCATCACCAAGAAGTCCTTCCTGGCCTTCTTGGGCCATAGCCATGGCACGTGCACCGCCACGGGCGCCGGCCCGGACGATTTGACGAACAAGGATCCGGTGCCCCAAATCGTGATCGACAGCTCAACCTACGTGGATGCCTACCATCGGCAGACCTCCCAGGATTCGCAGCATTCCCATGGCCAGGTCATGGCCCGGCTGCCAAAACAGGTGAGCTTCAGCTTCTGAGTGGCGGTTTGGAGCAGCTTGTTTTCTTGCAATTTGATCCATTATTATCCATGATGCTTGAAAGGTTTGGGGGTTAGGTGGTTATTTCAGACTGACAATATCGATAGGAACATCGATGCCCCGAACTCACCGGCGGGTATCAAGTGACTCGCGCCCGCTGGTGTGGCGCGAGTCAGGTGCACACAAGCCTGATTACAAGAGACTTTCCTTTGTTTATACGTGTATACAGTAGACGTTTTTTGGGTTCAACCACATGTATATATAAAGTGTATATATACAAGTTTATACTGTTTTATTTATACATCTTCAGATTCATATAATAGCATGCAATTGTATACTGTGTATACCACAAAAATTCGACCCACCATTGATTTGATGAGTTCTACCAAACAGCAAATATTGTACAACGCACGATGCCAGGTCAACCGGGCTAGGTTTTACAGTCTATACATCATGTCTATACACTTGTTATATATATATATATTTTAATTACCGGATGCAGGGGCATGGACTTTCTTGATGTGCAGTAAGCAGAAACCCTGCTCACAAGCGCATGAGCAGCTGCAGACATTTCTCAGCATCCCTGATCAATTCAACAGGGTTTGTTGCAAGTTGCTTGTTCTACCAAACGTTGTTATGTGTGTGTTTGTCCCATTGATGCACCTTTGAGAAACACATGGCTTAATTGACTACAGTGGGTTCAGAGTAGATGGCACAATCCCCAATGTCGGTGGTTCATATCGACCCCCATCTCAAAGTCATGTAGGGATTTGTGCCATCTACTCTGGAAGCACTGTAGTTGTTTCTGGTTTCATTGACGCTTCTGAAAGATGTGCTGAACATTGCTTAACATTGACTTCGTGACTTCGACCACCCTTCCGAGCCGCGCCGTGTCTATCCGCTTGGACCAGCGTTGTGTCGAGGCACTTGTTAGGGATGAAGAGCATTGGCCGATCATGGCTGATGTGGTTTCCAGGAGGCCCTTGGGGTCTCATCAGAAGTAGGTGATTGACTTGGGGACTTGGGGGCCCCCAGCTTCGGATGGAGGTCCCATCGTTCTGCTGCATGTTTTGGTGGGGTTGAACATCGGGGGAGAAAACTGCATCACAACAATTCCATGGCAGCCGCGCTTCATACCTCATGAGACGGCGAAGAGGCTGCGGGTGGCTTCCCCTAAGGCTTGCTGGCCTTCCCGCAGCGCGCCGAGAGCTTGCAGACCATGCGGCGTGAAGTGGCCCAGGAGATGTCCTACCACACCAGCATGCGGCTGAAGAGCAATTGCATTGGCCCCTCCAGGTGCATCGAACTCGACCGAGTCGGTGAAGTCGAACTAGATGGACCGTTGGATTGGTTGGATCGTCAATGGATCCTCACGGCCAAGGGACCGACGGGAGTGTCTCACTGGACGAAGGGGAGACCCTATTCGGCGACCGCCAGGTGTTTGGTTTGCGGATTCGAAAGCCTGGATGACACATCTAGACCCCCAAAGTAGATCCCCACTAAACATGTATTGGAGATCGTTTCTATCTAATTAGGGTCCACTACACTCAAAACGGACAGGTGTACAATTCGGTTCATGTTTTTTTATCTCTAGCCTTGGAAGTCAGACGTTTAAAGGGCTCGGAACTCCCAATTGGTGGGCTTTTGACCGAGGTATTTCTGAGGTGAATTGATGAACTGCCCAGAGACGTTCCAAATAACCCGTGGTCCCTCAAAACCTTGGGATTTGAGACCCCAGACTCCTCCATATGAGGTTCCTCCATGTGAGGCTCCAGGAGCGTTCGGGTGGGAGACCAAGTGCTGTGATCCCCAGTCATGTCCCACCGCCGCTGCCGCCGCACTCGCTGTTGGGCGACCAGGAAGAGCCGACGTTTTAAGCTCGAGACGATTTCTTGGCCAGAGGAAATGCGCAAGAGTGTGTTGGACGGCCGATGGAGACCTGTCGGGAGAGAACACGAACTGCAGAAAAGACCTCTAGAAAGAAGAGGTTCGGGATTGGCGCTTCCGGGATTGAAAGGGAACAGATATGTATTAATTATATTAACTTTGCCTTTCTCCAGATTCTCCAGGGTCCACGTGGTTCATGAACCATGCTGGTTCCTCCAAGTTTTCACCTATACTGCTACTATTTGCTAGTGACAGTGATGTTTTAAAGACGTTTGTATTTGGAAATGCTGTTGATGGACGGCATCCTGTCTCAAGACATGTGGCTTTCCAATGTAAACCCCCGCACCCCCCAACTCTCTGTCGTTTTTCCGGATGTGCCACAGGCTCCGTGTGCGGCACATGGGTGAGAACGCGTTTTTGAGCAGATAACTCACTAGTTTAATATATTTAGCTATTTGCCACTGAAGCGTTTCGCACTCAAGCTTCACCCTCCCAGTGTTCCGCCCATTTTGTGGGTGAGAGTCATGCCTCGTTTGAAGATCAGCTCCAGCAGTCTAGCAGACGGAAAGCACAAACGCTTTTAGAGCCATGTGAAGTATTCCGGGACTGGGAATATTGGCCTTGGGCCTTGTGGTGATATTTTCAGATGCTTTTCAAGGGTCAAAGTAGTTACATGTAGGTACTAGCTACTCTCTGACTCACATGGCCTCTCTGACTCACGTGGCACAACCTTTGCCACGTCGTGAGGGGAAACGGCGGTTCCGGTTGACCGTGATCCGACCGTCGGCACTCTCTCCGTCTCAGATGGACTGGTCCGGGATCTCTCTCTCTAGTTTGACTATAGATCTTTGGGACTATATGGGACTATAGATATTTTGAGGGTCCATGTAGGTAGGTGTTCCAGTCTCATGATGGTCCTTTGGTGGTCCCATTTTTGATGCGTCTCTCTCAGGAGATGGTTCTCAGAGTTGGCCTTTCTGCCAGCGCTCATCGGCGTGGTGGCGGCCATTTTGCGTGGTGTGCTGCTGTGGTGCCGCTTGCTGTGAGAAAACTAGAGACGAAGACAACTGCCTGAAGCATCCTGTTTGGAGATCCCTAAGTGTACTTTAGAGTGGTTCATTGGACTGTGCATTTGTCGTTCTGGAAAGATGCTTCCACGTGGAACAGGGCTTGGCATGGACCAGAATGGAAGACTGGTCTCCTTATTATAAACCGGGCGTGGTTTTTAGGTTCCATGTGGGGCTTTTCCAGGTTCCATAGATGCTTATAGTATCTTATAGTATACATGTTTATGTATGGAAGCTTGGAGGGTTTCCAGCAAGGGCCTTTTAGGATATGTGGTGCTAATAGGCTATAGGGTCTCAACTTTAACTGGTCAACCGGGAGAGAAGGCAACTTGGGAGACCGCAAGTTGCTTTCGGCAAGTGAGACTTTGGGTCTATGATTCTGGTCCATGAGCTTCAGGGGCATCGGGTGCCACGTCCATGGGCTGTCCAGTTGCTCAGGCTCTGATCGGATGTTGGCTATTTACAAAGGCTCCGGCGCCGGGTCGTTTCTTTACGTGCCTTGGGCCAAAAGAGCAAACGCCCCCGCGCACGAGGGATAGTTCACCTCGGTATGATCACACGAAGATCCAAAAAAACATCCATGCTGGCACCAGACGTTCTTCTGACAGATCCTGGTACATCCCGGACTCAAAGGCTCGAATCCCAAGTGGTGGTTTACAAAAGCGTCACAACAGGGGAGAGTTCGTCTCCAAGTTCGTCTCCCAGTCGAAATGGCTGTGGGGTCGCACCCTGGTAGCCCCAAATACACCTGGTAGCGCTGTGGACCGTGTCTGGTCGTCGCCCCGGTCACCGGTCGGCCAACTGCCCAGTGCCATGACCCAGACCGGTGAAACGGCTCATTGGCTCGATGGTGACACCGGCTGGCGGGGTCCAGCACCGTGAAAGCACCGTGTTGCAGCAAGCTCAGATGGGGTTTTCAAGCCCAGAAGGTAGCTTGACTTATTGGGGGGGTTGCTCAAGAAGGCAAGTTTACACGATGTACTGGCAACATGTGACACACAAGATGCTTCTTGAGAATAAGTTTGCTTATGTGTTGCATGTTAAGGAACAGCAGTAAGTACCAGTAGTGCATGTACCGACAGAGGTTGTTGAACAAACCCATCCTCCTGGTGATTTGGAGGGAACTAAGGAGTAGGAGTATCTGTATTTTCCTTTGAACGAGGAGCGCCAAGGAACTACAGCCGTCAGCATGTTGTTTGCTTACTGGCGTGCCATGTTTGCTTTGTTGACATCCCTTTGTGGATCTTTGTCTATTGTTTCCACCCACCAGGCCTCTCTGATCTCCGTCCTCTTCGCTGAGCTGAGTGCAACCTTGGGCTGGCAACAGCCTTGTAGCGCCTGTGGAATTTCCGAAGTGCCACTTGGGCGTCAACGACGATCGGGTTTCGGAGACTGGAGAGAGACCACGGTAAGGAGAGGGCACCGGCGGAAGAGCCACCGTTCAGCCACCGTGTTATGCGCGCGCATCATGTGGCGTTTCCTACCTATACTTAGTGGCGTCCTTTGGTTGGATTCATGTTTAGTATTTCTTGGGTTGGTCCGGACTTTCTTTCCTGTGACAGTCAGTAAACAGCTGTCACTGTTTTTGAACAACCCCTTTACTCATACTCATCATCATCATCATCATCATCATCATCATCATCATCATCATCATC